AGATCAGAAAGCATGAAAACACAAAAAACAGGTAGATAAAAGCTGACAGTTACTCACAGGAGAAAGTGGAGGACCGAAATAAAGAGGCATTGATAGTTCAACCAAAAATGGAAATTCTGTCATTAATTACTCACCCTCATGTCATTCCAAACCCATAAGACCCAATATTTTTGAGGAAATCCGAGAGCTTTCTGACCTTGCAGAGACAGCAACGCAACTACCACGTTCAAGGCCCTTTAAGCGGTTTTTTTCTCTTTTTTTTGTGTTAGGACCCCCAGGCCGATGCAGTCTGCCCCCCTCCCCCTGTTACAGCAGTGAGGATGTGATCAGCTGTCAGCTGACGCGCTCAGTGCAGTGTGCCCACCAGAAGCCCATCACTGTGCTCAAAGCTGCCGCTGGCAGAGTGGTCACTGGCAGCCAGGACCATACAGTCAGGGTAAGGAACATATGAATATATGGAAATATAAATAAATATGCAAACAGGAAGATCAAAGTTGGCACACCACAGATCCAAAAGTAGAAAAATATTTATGTTTACATAGCTCAGCCCTTATATACAGCACAAACCGTTTGCAGTCAATTGTTGTTTTCTCTTTTTATATATATATATATATATATATATATATATTTATATATATATATATGGTAAAACATGTTAAATAGGGCAGACAGTGCAACACTTTGATTATTAAAAGCATTATTATATACAAAATATTAATTAAAAATATAAGGGTTATTTGTGGAACTTTACATTTAGTCATCAGACTGTAAAGGATTTGTTCAGATGCTGGAAATCTGTAGAGCTTCCTGTGAGCACAGATTCTGTTCAAGCCTACAGTTAACTCATGCTTTAGTTTGTTGTTTATTTGACATTTTTCTTTTATAGGTGTATCGTTTGGAGGATTCTTGTTGTCTCTTCACCCTGCAGGGCCACTCAGGTGGTATAACTGCTATATACATAGACCAGGTCAGAATCGCATCACTATCTCACACATATACACCTTGTGTAATATTGCTGCTCATATTTCTAATTTACAATACTGTAAATTAACTGAAAACATGGTGGGTGGGTGGATGGATGGACCAATGGATGGATAGTTGGATAGACTTGTAGATGGAGAGATGGATGGATGGATAGAGAAGAGGGATAGATTGAGAGAGGGATAGAATAGATGGTAGATGAGCAGATAGATAGATGGTTAGTTGGATAGATAGGCAGATAGATAGATGAATAAATGGATGGGTAGATGGATGGATATTGTCTCATCATTGTCTCAATCATATTCATTTTGGCAAATGAAAAAAAAGTTGTTGTTTTTTTGTCCCAACTCAATTTTTTTCTGTGCTGTGTTATAGACCATGGTTCTAGCCAGCGGGGGCCAAGATGGCGCCATCTGCATGTGGGACGTCCTAACAGGCAGCCGGGTGAGCCACGTTTACGGTCACCGTGGTGATGTCACCTCATTGGTTTGCACAACTTCCTGTATCATTAGCAGTGGGTTGGATGACCTCATTTGCATTTGGGACCGTAGCACAGGCATAAAGCTGTACTCCATACAACAGGTGTGTGATTATGAGAATTAGGACTGCAGGATTTCATCAACAAATCAGCATATTGTGATTTGTTATGAATAACATAACAAAATCTCTTATGTCTTTCTCTGTATTTCAGGAGGTGGGCTGTGGGGCCAGTTTAGGGGTGATCTCTGAAAGCCTGCTGGTGACGGGAGGACAAGGTTGCGTGTCGTTTTGGGACCTGAACTACGGGGACCTGCTGCAGACGGTGTACCTGGGCCAGAGCAGCGAAGGTCAGAGCGTCAGGCAGCTCCTGGTTCTGGACAATGCTGCCATAGTCTGTGACTTTGGTAGCGAGCTCAGCCTAGTCTACGTGCCCTCTGTTCTGGAGAAGCTGGACTGAACACACACACAAACACCAGCCCACAGATTTAGCAAATTTTCAGTGGCCGGCACAAAAGCACTCACCCTTTAACCTGAATCACCACAGGTTCATTGCAGACATGAATGATGTTTCTTGTGTCCTCTCATGTACCACCCTACACTTAGTAGGGAGGGAGTGGCCACTTTATACCACATCTAAACAGGATGTAAATGCAAAACCTGATTGTTTGGTGTTCAGTAGGCCTCTGATGCTCCATCAGAGCATGTTGTACTTTTGGTAGAACATCATACAGATTATTCTGTGTATGAATCCAGACAGAATTGCATAGCTGCCGACAGTGAGAGGTGGCTCACTTGGCCTGCCTTAAGATGTCTGTTTGTGTGGATGTTAACAAGCTCACGGTGAGAATGCCAGGCCGCCCAGCCCAGAAACTCTCAACTGTGTGACAGCTAGAGGTGAGAGAGTTCACAATAATATGTTTGCAGAGGGAGAGGAGGAACGAAAGGTGGTCGTTGGGACAGAAAAAGGCATAGATATTTCCTGCTGAAAGGAGTGTGTTCTTTGCGTGCAACAGTGTTTGAGTGTTTGAATCTTCAGAAGTGTTCAGGTCACGTTGCACCCCATAATCAAAAGAATTCTTTGAGGTTTGATTAAAGACTTAGCAACCGCATAGGAATTCCTCTTGCAACCTTGCATAAAGACAGTAAACCTAATTTAGGACCAATCATATATATATTTTTTATTTTAATGACAAAACAGCCTTTATATATTTGTAATGTAAAAAAACTTTGAAAGAAAATGTACTTTAATACATTTTTTTCACCTGTAGGTATATTTACATGTTGTATTTGTTATACAATACAACATTTGTTAGAATTTTTTCATTAAAAAAAAATAATAATTATGGATGATTTTTACTAAGTTTATTTATTTGTTTTTTTCTTGTCATATATTTATATTTTCAGTATAGAAAATTTGGGAGGGGGTGCTTAATTGTCAAAAAAAAAAATCACAATGCAAATAATGTTTATGATCGTTAAAGTAGGCCTCAGTTTCTTTTTGCAACATACTTATTTTCTTTTGATTTTGGGGTGAAATTTGAACTGGATGCTGTGTTTCTGTGAGTGGTTGTGTTTGTAAGAGCATACTGTATACGTCTGACTCGGGTGAGGGGGGATCTGTTTTTAATATTGAAATCAATTATTTATTAGTGAAATTTCTAACAATTTGTATGAAACTTGGCTTATAGATAAGTTGAAGTGGAGATGTGGTCAAATTTTAATATACAAGAAAAGTTTTGACTAACTTACACCGAAATAATATGATTATATTGATCAAGTCAGTTATTGACAGATGTCAGGCAGCAAGAAGGGTGGCTAGAGAAAAGAGAAAGGGAGATGTTCTCATTCCAGTCCTGCCTTAAACATGTGAAAAATGTTCCTTGGGACATGCTGTGATGTCATATCTGTTTCCTGAAATCCTGAATGAACATTTAGTAGGGTTCATTTCTACAGCACCTGTATGCCAGGTACATTTTTAGCTAAGCCGTCAGTACGAATCACCCAATGTCATTTTAAATGCATCTAAATGCAGCAGATGATGAACACCTCTGGAGGAGTTCGATGCCTCTCTGTGCTGAAAAGTGATGGACAGGGCTGCTTTTTATTACTAGATGTGTATATTTTCTTATTTTTCTGTATTAAAATGTGTTTTTTTTTTTGTAGAGCCATGACCAGTTTCACTGAGATTATTGACCATTAGTTGTTACTGTGTATTTGGGCCCGGTTTGTAAGTGTGTGTATGATAAAACATTAGTATATCCAATCCAGCTCTGCAGAAACCACACTAATGTGTGCATTGGTTTGGCCTATTTTTCATATAGCCATAGCAGTCAACCAATTTTGTGGTTATCTTTCGGGCAAATGCACACATTCGTGAAAACTGAAATTGAAATATTAAAATGCACTGAGAGACTTCTTTAGTTTCATTAGACAGCAGCAGAGATTTTTCTACATTTAATTTAAGTTTGTCTGGATGTGCATTCCATTTTTTTTTTTTTTTGCATTTTGATTTCTGGTTTGGTAAGTCTACCAAACGTGTCCCCATTTTCAATGCAAGTGAGTCATAGGTGGTTTTTGTTGCACTTTAAAGGGGTCATATGATGCTGCTAAAAAGAACATTATTTTGTGTATTTGGTGTAATGAAATGTGTTTATGCGGTTTAAAGTTAAAAAAACACATTATTTTCCACATACTGTACATTATTGTTTCTCCTCTATGCCCCGCCTTTTTGAAACGCGTCGATTTTTACAAAGCTCATCGGTCTGAAAAAGCAAGGTGTGCTGTGATTGGCCAGCTATCCAATGCGTTGTGATTGGCCGAATACCTCAACCGCGAGTCGGAAATGTTACGCCCCTCACCATACTGTCGATGCCGTGTCCGGCCGGAGCGACGAGACAAAAAACATTAAAACCCATTACAAACGAGGCATTTGTTGCATCCAGTGGGGCCATAATTACTGATTATAATGACTTATACTGTCGTTTTACGCGTTGCGTTACATTGCGTCGCGTAACTACAATACTACAGCGAGAATAAAAGTTACGCTTTCTTTCTTTGCGTGAACATTTGGGCGGCTTTATGCAAATCTTCCCACATAGTGAGGTAGGTATGTGGGGGCGTGTTCGAACGAGCCGTTTTAGGTAGGTGTGGCTAACTCTTAACTTTTATAAAGAATATCTCTTTGGATTTGAGACTTTAGTCTTTGCAACTTTACAGATCTTCTTTATGCACCAAGAGCTTGTAACACTCTAAAGAGAAAGGAAAAAATGAAATCGCATCATATGACCCCTTTAAAACTTACCAATTTGAAACATGATGCTTTAAACTTTAAAGATTAAGGAGTTTGATACCATTGCATATTGTCGTTTTTATAAATTCCCCCTATTGTTTTGATTTTTGCAAAAACATATAGTCCCCAAAACAATTGAAACCAGGAAAATGATTTTCCATCTGATCAAGTCAATAGAAATGCACATGACTCCGTTATTAGCCATGTTTTATGAATGTAAATATTAGTTAATAATGTTTTTTTTTTTTTTTTTTTTTTTTTTTTAAGTATACGTATGTGCATTTTTCAGTGGGTTTGTGATTGTGGCATTGATACGGCTGAAGTTTCATAAGACCAGCTGTGCAGCTGTTGTAAGGATGCTCAAATCTTGTTTAAACATGAGAAATAGCAAAAAACAATCATTTTCACCATGACGTGATGATGTATGGCCAGTTATCGCTCAAGAACAAATGTATGGCTAGCAGCTGGGAATTGTTCAGAATTATTTATGAGTGGTTAAAACTTGTCACATGATTAGATTAAGCATTAACCACATGAGAACAGAGTGCTGAGAGAAGACAATGATTTATAATCATTTCCGTGACCATACTGAAAAGCATCATTTACTTGATGGCAGGGTTGCTGCCAAATACAATGGCAGCCGTTTTATTGCGAGAAGTGAAATAGCACCAAGCTCCATTGTGTTGATTTTACTGCTCGCTCTGCCTTCCCAGAGGAGCACATTCCTAGACATGATAGATGCATGCAGTATTGAAGTGAAATACTGCTGTCAACTTGCTGTATCTTACTGCTGCTGAAGTAGAAGTGGAGGATGTTTAAAGTGATGTGAAATGCCTGAATGTTGCACTGTTTCTTAAGATGGGGAGGGGGCAGAGAGACTGGGTGTAAATATTGTCTTTTTTTTGGGGGGGGGCTGCTCTGCCCTCTTCTCAGTCTTTCCCAAATACACTACACAGTGTAACCAGACAGTAGAGGATGTAACTAATGCTCTGTTCTATTTTTAACACCGGAGAAAAAAAACTTTGTACTAATTCGCAAATAAAAAGGCTTTCATACAAAATGTGTTTTCTCTGGGTTAAATATAACAACCTATCAACAGTATTTGTAGCTTGCTGTAAAATAAGTTACAATGCATTGACGGTAATGCACTTGGTCTACTCTTTAAACATTAGCTTAGTGGTACAGGTTTTAACGATTGTCAACTAAATTGCAAACTGAACCTGACAGTAAACAGAAACACCATGCATTTATTTAAAAAAAGGGCAACTCGATGGAGGGAAAAATTGGTAATATGAATTGTAACATGAGAATAAGGTGGGTGATGACAAGTTTTCAGAACAAATAACAAATTTGAATGTGTGATGTACAGCAGACTGGGAAAATATGTAAATATTACTATAAAATAAATTATTTAAATTTCAAACATTGCGCATTTTTGAATAGCGGTCAATAGAGGAAGTTGGTGTAGTTACAGCATCTACCACCAGGGGCTAATGAGTCCATGCTAACCCCCCAAAAAACTTGTCCTCTTCATATTTTTGCTATTTGCTATAGTTTGAAAAACAAATCAAATGAGACCAACATATTGACATTTGTTAAGATTTATTTACACAGTTCAAAGAAAGAATCAGCTCATAAAAATGCTATGATTTCTGAAGTGATTCAGAATTTTGAGTGTTTTAAGTATAACGAGTACATTAAGTCGTATTTTCATCACCCGCTTCAATTTGTCCCTACATATACTTTGCAGATCACTGTAGCTCAAAGACAGGTGCGGTGACTAATAATATACAACCCACAGTGTAAGCAGCATGTGTACAAAGGGCAAGCAGACAGTCGCTCAGTCAAACTGTTAATATGTTTTCTGATAATGACAACAGTAGCTTGAATGTCAGTTTTTCTATCACACTGTTTCCATTCTCAATGTTTCCATTTTTGGTGCCCACTGCAGAGGCACCTTACAGGCAATCACAAACACCACGGCATTAGGAGTGCATGCTAGGAGACCGGATTTACGGAATGTAACCAGGATCAGAGCTGGAAAAGTGCCAACTGAAAAAAAGACTTTTCAGGACACAAGTGGACAGACATACATACAGTGATAGGGTCCAAGAGGCATGAACACGGACAAGATGTTACACGGGGTCAGAAACAGTTCATAAGAAGACTGCCTGTGGGGGAGAAGATAAAAGAGAGCTTGGTTATGTTGTTTCAGCTTTTGTTGAGTGTCCAGAGAGGATCCAAACTACTGAGCGGATCGTCGCCCTCTGGTGGTCCTTGCAGGCCTTTACCTTCTTGCGGCTGAAGGAAGCTTTGCTTGTTAATCCGCTGCTTGCCTCGATGGGCACTGTCCAGAGTGAAGGCTTCAGGTGTGAGAGAAGCAAGCAGATCTAAAGATGAGGAGGGGGGCGGAGAAGGAGCATGAGGCGCTGCTTCAGTGGATGGCTGGTGATTTGAGACTGGAGATGCAGGAGTGGACCCAGTGAACCCATTCCCTTGGCCACTAGGAGGTGAAGGTGACTGCGTCTTGCCTGGAGAAGAGGTGCAAGAGAGGGGGGGACTGATGAAACCAGGCATAGCTTCATAACAAAGCGGGTCCTGAGAAGGCTGAAGTGACAATTCTGTAGGATCTGGTTCCACTGTGCTTGCCGCTTCGGAAACGGAGGGAATCTGGTCTTGGCCGGACTCTTGTTCATGGTCAACACTGGGTGGTCGAATGCTAAGTTTGGCCACAGTGGCCTGTATGGAACTAATAGGCATGTCTCCTCCCAGAACAATGTCCTGAGACTCCTGTCGCGAGTATGACTAGAAAGTCACAAAATATAACAATCACACTGCTGTTTGGTTTATAAAAAGACAAGCGAGTAAGAAATAAGTTGTTACCTTTAATGCAATGTTATTTGGGGTCCTGGTGCAAGGGGATGTAATAATGCCATGACGTTGCAGAACCTGCTCTGTATGTTTAAGGACAGCCTCATAGCAAAATTTGAGATGAAGCTGTGGAGGTTTTTTGACAAAAGTACCATTAAATTCTATCAACTTAACACTGTGCAAAATCTCAAACCTCATTGGGAGAGTACCATTACCTTTTCTTGCAGCATGTTCTTCCTTTGCTGCCTCATCTTCCTCACCAGCTGGATCAGGTCAGGTATACCATTGCCAGCCTCAATTTCTTGCAGCGCTGCATAAAGCAGACAGAAGGCGCCAGTACGGCCAACACCAGAGCTATGAGAAACAGAAACAAAACCGTAAATGTACTTGTTATTTTCTGCTTTTGCTTAGCCTCGTCTGTGTTCAATATCATTTGTAATGTCCTTTATGTGTTAAAGTATGGTACCTGCAGTGCACTACGACTGGAGTGTGTAGTGGGCGCTGAAGCAGGTAATGTCCGTGGACTTCTTGAATAAAATGGATGAGGTTGCTTTTACTCTCTGGAAGGCCCCTTTTTGTGAGAAAATACAAACAAAAGTTATTAGTGTTTTAAGCAATTTTAATAGATTGACTGTTTAAGAATGAGTCCTCACAGTTCAGGCCATGAAGTAAACTGAA